TGCTGCCAGTCAACATCCTTAGGGCCATCATCTCAGGACATCAGGCTATTGATGCAAATTCTTCCCACTGTGAGATTAACCTTATTATTTGTAACAGATGTAAAATATTAGGATGAGCTGGTATATTTTCATTTTTGTCCAAAGATTGATTTTTTTTTCCTTGATCTGTTCTGCATTACCCAAATACATGAAACAGCAATTAAAACCAGCACTGCATAAAGCTGCAGGTGAGATGAAAAAATAAGCACAGGAGCATGCAAATAAAGGAATATATTCCATCAGCTATATATGTCCACTGTAAATATAAGTGCATTTTAATCATTATCATTTTAGAAGGAAACTTCAAAGAAACTTAGACCCGGAATCATTGGATTTAGTTGCCATAAGCAGAACTGACATTGACACACTCCCTAGTCTTATCTCACTTCCTGAGAAGTTATGTTTTACCATGAAGTTTCACAAATGAAATTTTCCTGTCTGCTTAGGAAACATCACTCTATAATGTCAGAAATGAACAGTTTGACACCTGTCCCATGCCTGACAAAAATCATCAAAAAGACATTGTTCCTGATGTTAGCCAGACCCTAGTAAAAATATATAAACATTCCTTTGAGCAGAGATTGGAACATACTTGGTGGAAGAAATATGATTCCTCCTATTCTTATGAATTTCCTTATTTCGGAGGTGGGGGAAAACAGGAAGGAGTGGTGCTGTTGTACAGGACGGGCTGGAGTTGGCATACTTCAGAGGGAGACACTGTTTAGGGTAACAGCAGTAAGCTAGAGAAGACAGTGTCTTATCAGGAGGTGGGAGCCAGACCTCATATCCAATGGGCTGGTGCTATATCATGAAACAGTCACATGAAAGAGGTAGAAAAATCTCCTTTTTTCAGTTGTGTTACTGTATGCAGTAAGAAAAGATTTCTCACTGCTTTCTTACTCTAGTATCAATCAAATATTGCCTTTCAAATGTGGATCTCTGTACAAGTACTTGTACCAAGCTTCAGGCAAAAATTCCTGATCTGCCACTACAGCCATCAGCATCTCCCCTTCCCCAAGCACTCCTGGCACAGCAGGAAGCATTTGTACTGGAACCTCCTCGCTTTTAATAGCAGAAAGCTAAGTGGCACCAGACGAGTATCTGGTCCAGATGTGTGGCATTACAAACACTTTAAAGATTTTACATTGTCTCTGACCCTTTTACATTGGCAAAAATACCATAATGCCGTTAAAAGCAAGGAAAACCCCGTATCTGATGGGGAACAAGATATATAGTTATTTATGCGGACTATCTCGAAGCCCAATAGAGGTATGTACTTAGGATGTAAGGAGGCTGTCAGAAGAATATAATTGAATTATTGAGCATCCTTGCAACCCAGGGGTGGGCTCCAGGACCTGCACAACAGAGCAAAAGGAGAAGAGACGTGCTGGGGTCAAACACAACTAAACAGATGCCGCATGTTTCTGACCTGGATTACGTGGCACTTGCTATTCCTCACGTGCAGTAAATAGCTGCACTCACCGCATTTTTTTTTACATCCTTATTGGCTGGAAACCACCCTGTGAGGTGGATCACTCCTGTAAAGCTGAGCATGCCAAGCAGAAGTGGCTCTCCCTTCAGCGGCTCGTCTCAATGACAGCAGCTGCAACAAGCAACCACTGCAGTGCCTGCCCAAGCGAAGAGGAGATTGAACACACGAGAGCCTTCGGCTAGCAGAGAAGAATAAAGTAAAATGCTTTTTCCTCCTACTCATTTCTGTCTTCACTCAAAACTGGTTTAGACAACTTAAACTGGACAAGTATGTGTCCAGTTTTCTTTCTCTCCTAAGTTTGAAAAGAGCAGTGTGCGTTCTTATTAAAGACGGATTATGTGAGGTGGAACAACATAAATCGACTATCCTGCTGGCATGGAAACTGTGCAGGGCCTTTCTGCACTCAGAAATGGAAGGTTTCAGCAGCCTCCAACCAGGAATGGAAAAATAGATGTAAAGAAGCAAGCTAAGCCCATGACATCTATCTGGTTCCAAGAACCACTCAGCCAGTCTCATTGTGCAGGGTAACTATATAACCATCATAATGTACAATAACCCTCAATGAAAGAGTCATAAATTTCACCTGTTTACAGGTGTGAGAGCCAGGGGTTTGATTTTCTTTTCTTTTCTTTTTTCTTCCTAACTACTTTTCAAGGATAACGTGGCTTCTATAAAGTCCTCTCTGGCACACACTTGCTGGTAAGTATAAGGGTAAGGGAGACATCTTCATGCAACTTTTAGTTTGCTGTTGAGTTCTGTGCGGTGCTTTAGGGAAAAAGGCCAAATGCTGGTTTACATGCATTGAATCTCATAAAATTTATCAGAATTTCATAAGAGTAAAGCAAAGCTGAAATTTTGGTCCTCTTTAGACCTGTTTCACTGATTTTTCTAATGTTTTGTACTCTATTTTTCAAGAATATTGCTGAGGGAAATGACTACAAATTACATGTAGGAGTTGTCTTGGCAGGCAATGTAGAGATCTACTTTATGTAATCATAAGGCTGGAAAAACCAAAACCATTGTCTCTGGAAAACTGCTTTTAACGTTTTTCCTTTTTGTAAGAAGATTTGTATTTGCTCGGTAATCTAAAATGTCCTGAAGTCCTGTAAAAGGGCTATTAGGGGAATATTTAACATAATTTTGCCTAAGTCTACTGTAAAAACTTGCAATGACTTCTGTAAAATGATAGGAACAAATTAAAAACATATGGAGTTCTTCATAGTATGTTTGGTCATTCTTTTTTGGCTCCCCTCACACCGGGTCTCACTGGGAGGTGAATATGCCGAAGGCTAGCATAAGTTATAGAAGTCCTAATGTTCTTCTAATTTATGATTGCTGTCATGGGCTGTCAGGCCAAGATCCCCAGAGCACAATGAATCCCACTTCTCAGCTTGCTGTTATCACTGATAATACAATATCAGCAGTATTAGGAGAAAAAAGCAGGTATTCCTTAACACCGCGCAAATCTGAATTTAAGTGTAATTCAGGTGTTACCTACCTTCCAAATTCAGAGCTACCACTGCTGTGTCGTCCTCTAATCCTTCAATCACCTCGCACTTATATCTCCCATAATCCTCCAGTATTATATTTGTGATTATAAGGGAGGCATCATTTTCACTGCTTTCTCTCAGAAACACTCTGCCCTGGTAGTTTCCGTAGCTCTTTCTGTGGTGTCCCATTGCAACAAAGACATCCACTTCTTTGAGGTAATCTGAGGTGAGTTTGGTCCACTTGACCCGGATTTTGTGGGTTCCTGAGCCAGCTGTTGATGTGTGTTCATGGTAAAATTTACATGGCAGTGTGACATTGCCACCCCGGTGTGAGAAGATTTTAGCTTGCTCTGCTACCACAAGTAGACGGGGTCCATTTTCTGCTAGGATTCAAGAAGAAAAACAAAAACAAGAATTAGTCTACAATCTACCTTTTACAGAATGGATACGATCAATGCCATAACAACCATCAGCTATATTACACATTAGGTCTGCAGAATCAGTTCCCTGCAATCATTTTGTACCTATGCGGTAGTAGGGCACATAAAACCAGTTATATGTAAACATTTACTTAGCTGCAAGTATGTCTGTGTGTGTACACTCCCAGACAGGCAGAGAGGCAAACTGGTTTGCAGCATTGGATTGGACATTAGGAAAAACTTCTTTACGGAAAGCGTGGTCAGGCCTTGGAACAGGCTGCCCAGGGAAGTGGTTGAGTCACCATCCCTGGAGGTATTTAAAAGACGTGTAGGTGAGGCGCTTAGGGACATGGTTTAGTGGGCATGGTGGTGTTGAGCTGATAGTTGGACTCGATGATCTTAGAGGTCTTTTCCAACCTTAATGATTCTAAGATTCTATGATTGCCCCCTCATACAGGCAGAAGCTATCCTACATACTCCATAGTCATGAAGATAGAGTTGTATCAATATATTGACAGAGTTGTACAGCTGGTAGATGAAAGGCATCATCCATAAAAGGCTCCACACAAAAATTCCATATTTCCTTGTGGGTTGTTCCAGAGTTGTCCATCAACACTGCATTTTTTTTCATAATTCAATTCTTATGTATGGACTCAGCTTATTCAAGCAGCAGCATACAAAGCTCCTCATAATCTTGGATACAGTGAATCACTCTCACAAAACAGAAAAACCATTACTGTATCAAATAGCAGTATTATATTGTCAGCATAATTCTAAAATGTCTCATTTTCTATATGTATTTTCTTCTAACATTTGAGTTCAAGTTCCTCTTCTGACATACTTTGACCAAAGCAAGGAAGTCCAATTTATCTTCAAATGTAAAATTCAGTCGTCTCCTGGCCCCTTTCCCGATCATCTCAATCTGGTTTTTTTTTCATCTGTTTTCCTCATCTCCTTCAAACTTGTCACTACTTTATCTTTGATATTTTGAACTCACTTTTCACACAAACAAGTGTTTAACTGGCTGGCTCCTCTCCTCCTCAGCCTCACCCCAGACCCCCTGCTCTCTTTTCTCCCTAGTAGGTCACTAGAGCTGACGTTGCTCTATGCAATGATTATATTTAGGACAGTCAGCTTGAGCACGTGCTCGCTTCCAACCTTAAGTCTCTGGGGCTTCTTTGACAGGCTGTACTGCCTTGGGAAAACCCTGGAAAGCACAGATTTCATGGTGGTAGTCAGCAGATGTATCCAAAAGCGAGAATATTTCCTTCTTTCATTAGCTCTTTCCTCTCCCCTCATGCGCAGTTTGCAAAATTGATTTAGCAAGCTCAGCGCTTCTGTAGATATTGCTGTCCTCTATCACTGAGACACCAAAAGAAACTAGCAATGAATCACCAGCGCTCTGCTCGCAAACCTCACTCTTCATAGCAGATTACAAAGAAAGACTTTGTAACTCTCTGTGTGTGTTCAGCAAGTCAAGAAAGGTGATTCCTGACTTTAAGGCTCGGTCTGGCTCTCTCTAACTTCAGCAAAACGCTAAGTTCCCAAATGTGGGGGCTGCTGAGAGGCTGACCCTATGAAGACTAGCAGCAATTTTCTGCTGGCATCCATGGGGATGAATCTGGATTGATAGGAAAAACACGCAGAAATGTGTGCAAAAATGTCATCAGCCAGAGAGAGGTGTGGATGATGGAAGGAGGGAAGGACTGGGATGGAGATGGGCTGACAGACGAGGTGTCAGTGATGAGCCCACCAGGGAGTACCCCACCCGGCCAGCTGTCTGTTCACAGCACTGCAAAAACCTGCGGTGTGTCCGCAGCCACGGGGGGTGCAGGGAGACATTAGGGTCTGTAGCTCATAAATGTCTCCAGACAGTCCTAGGCTTCTGAGTCTTGTTGACAGGTCTGCTGGCTGAATGATATATTCACCTAAACTGCAGTTTCAGCTTGACTTCACTATCTGTCCACGCTGGCTGTGCTAAGCAGAAGAAACCCCAGGGTATGCTGCATTTTATGATTATGTAAAAATCATGTTCAGGGGTGATAATTGCAAACTCAAACTCGCTGAGTGCAAACTTGCATCTGCTTAAGAAAAACAGGTATCCCAAATGTGTAGTTCTTTGTCAGGCGATGCTGTGTCAAGAGCATTGTTGTTACCTGCACAGGACAGACTAGCCAGGGCCCCAGCTTCCTCAAGAATGAACGAGCTTGAGTGGCCAAAATTGTTTTATCAGGATGAGAGACCTTCCTACCTAATGAGAAATCATTACTGCAGAGCGATCACTTGCAGCTCCATATAACTGGTTTTCTTTTTCACTGCCCTTCTTCCCAGAAGCGAGCAGAGGCTCGGGGCTGCTCCGATAACCCATCTTCCCCCTTTCAGAGGAGAGCATCCAAGGAGAGAGGTGATCTGAGGCAAGGCACCATGGAAAGTGTTGCTAAGACTGTTTCCACAGGACGAGGAGAAGGAAGAAAGTGAAGGCAGCCAAGATGGTTTGTTTGCGAATTTCCCTGTTTCCTTCAGGGACAAAGATGTTCCATAGACTTCTGTCCACCTTGGGAGGAGAAATGTTATGCTTTGGGGTGGTTATTACCAAGAAATCTGAATCAGAGCTCAACTATGTTGGGTCTTTAATACTGAAATAGTCAAGTTAATAAATATTAGCAGAAAAGACTGGGGCAGGAGGGAGAGTCTGACGCAGGCTGCTAACGCTCGCTCTTTCTAACAACAGCTGGTCTGTGCCAGCAAGCCCTGGAGACTTGCCCAGAGCACTGTCACCTCTGACTCCACCGTTAGCATCCTAATGCGGTGGTGTACCTCTCTCCTGGCTGCTTCCCATCTCCTCTGGCCCTTTGCAGCAGCCGTTACCTGAGTTTATATCTCAGTAAGTATAAACAACAGAGGGGACAGCAATCTGGGAAAGGAAAGAAAAGCATGGCTTTTCTCAGCCTGGAACATCTCCTACAACTCTGGAGATTCAAAGGGAGATGCAACGCTTGAAATATGCCTCCACCCTCAAGTTTTCTAAAAGCCAATTCTTTTTTACAAAAAAAGACATGATGTGCCCTTCTCTCTGGCAAGACAATGGGGCAGAAAATTACATTGCTGCTGCTCCCAGACCTAGGAGAGGAGGAAGGAAAAATCTCTGGCTTTCCAGGAAAAGCAGATGTCAGATTGGGGGATGCTGCATAGTTTCTTTTTGGCCTAGAAGACATGCAGAAGACATGCAGGCAGCAGGGATTCAGGATTAAAAATGAGATGACTGGGATTTGGCAAGAGGCCAAGAGGTCTCTCTTATGCAGCAGCCAGGGAGAAACAGGGCCAAATTCACCTAACTGCATATTTTTGGGAGCACGGCAAAATTAATGGCCTTGGTCTTTGGAGAAGGAGTTAAAAAAAAAACCACAACAAACAAAAAAATGCCTAAACACAGAGCAAACCAGAATCTCTTCATTTACAATATGTTTAGCACTCTTGATGCAGCATTCTAGCTTACTGCTCTGAAAATAAGCTTAAACAAGGAATGAATTCTGCTTCCTGGGTTATCTTAATACAATGAGCAACGATGTGTTGTGAAACGGTGATCTGACCATGGAAGATGGGGTAAACTCTCCTTTAACTTGTCATAGTGGCTGCTTTCATCATGGGGTTTCTGACAAGGCTGCTCCTTCTGAATAAAATTGTCTTTGTATCTAAATGGCAGGAATATCTAACAGATGAGTGCAAGAAGGAAAAAGATGGGACATGTGAGTGTTATCACAGAGTCCAGCATGTTCTTGAAGAAGACAATACTTCTTTTTCCCCAGAACTACTTTCTTCAGAAGTACAATCACGGAATTTGTAAGGTGAATGGCCAAACAACTATAAACTCTGCAAACCCCAGATAATCCCTTGCTAAACAGTTGTCTGCAACAGGACAATTTGGATCCTAGCTGGAGACAAGACAGACCACATGCATGGCCATTCAAGAGCCTCAGACGGTGGACTAATGGTGAGGAATGGCTGGGCAACCTCCAGCTGCTTCTTCTGTTGGGAACAGAGATGGCAACAGCCTGGTTATTGGCTCTGGTCTCAGCTCTGAGGCCAGAAACGGGATGAGAAAGGTTTGCTAGGTGGGGTTTTCACCCTTCCAAGCATATTTAGCCTTGTAAGACAGCTTAGCTGTTAGTACAGAACCAGGCACCACTGGTGACTAATATTTTTTCCACTCCTGCTTCCCTTCTATCGATTCTGACAGGCTGTGGCCTTTTGTTAATCCTCTTGGTGCAATTAGATGGATGACAAAGGGAACATAATACGAAAACAGCTAACCTAGCTAAAAATGAGTTTGTTCAAGTTGCAGAAGCTGACCAGCTGTGCGGGATAACACACAGCTCTGGGAGCTGCTTTTCCAAGCTGTAGGGA